CATATTTTGAGAGGACTAATCTCTAACTCTTCATCATGATCCTTTCCCTATTTTATAATAATTCATTTGTTTTGTTTTATTTAAAATTAATTAATTATTTAGATCGTAGCTAGCTAGACCTTCCCAAAATAAAATCCAATCAACTTGTGTGATCTGATTTAATATATTTTTTTAACAAGTATATCTTATTTAGATGGTATTGGTGAAGGAAAATTAATAAAGAATCAAGTGGAGATTGATTTTCTTAAAAAATAAATAATAAAATGAACCAGCATTGACCAGAGTACTGGAGTAGAGAGTTGAGAGTATTCCTAAATTAATTAACCCTGGTTTAGCGATGCGTGGTGGAGGTTAACCCTTGTTAAGAGATTGGATGCTATATAACAAGACAGGAGGGCATAACATTGTTCTTCGTGCTAATCTCCTTGGCTCTTTCTGTTTCTGTCATTTAGGGTTTGTGAGTGTTGTCAATGGCTTCTGCAGAAGTTGAGTTCCGATGCTTTGTCGGTGGGCTTGCTTGGGCCACTGACAACGATGCTCTCGAGAAAGCCTTCTCACCGTATGGCCAGATCCTCGAATCGAAGGTCCGTTAGTCGCAGGGATCGGATCTGACACCATTCGGATTTGGATTCTCTTGATCCTTCTTGATCTGTGCTCTCTCATCTGTTTTGCGTTACTTGATCTATGATACTTGTGTTACTATAATGATTCTTTTATTACTCACACCAATCGGTACGTTCATCTTCATCTTTGATTCAAAGGCGAAGATCGATCGGTTTTAATCTGTTTCTTTTTTTCTTCATTTTCCCTGAATTTCACGGTTCTGAATCCGATCTCACGCGCTTTTGCTTTTGTTTGTGTTCAGGTCATCAACGACCGTGAAACTGGAAGATCAAGAGGGTTTGGATTTGTGACCTTCGCCACGGAGCAGGCGATGAGAGACGCTATCGATGGTATGAACGGCCAGAACCTTGACGGCCGTAACATCACCGTCAACGCGGCTCAGTCCCGTGGAAGAGGTGGTGGAGGCGGCGGTGGTTATGGAAGCGGCGGTGGTGGAGGTTACGGTGGGGGTGGCGGTGGAGGAGGATATGGACGAGGTGGTGGTGGAGGTGGTTACGGTGGAGGCGGCCGCCGTGAAGGTGGTTATAACCGTAATGGTGGTGGTGGTGGTTATGGCGGGGGCGGCGGTGGATACGGAGGTGGTGGTTATGGAGGTAGCAGGGACCGTGGATATGGTGATGGTGGGTCCCGCTACTCGAGAGGAGGTGGTGCTTCCGATGGTGGAAGCTGGAGGAATTAGGGTTATTTTGATTTAGGGTTTAGTGGTTGAAAACAGGGGAGGGTGTTGTGTCTTCCTCCCCTTGATATATTGTGGTAATTTTAGGTTTGGAATATCTCTGTGGTTTGAGCACCTGTTATTGTTTCAGTGTTACTGTCCAGTGGTTATCGTTTTTGACCTCTAAATTAATATCCAAAAAAAATGAATAGTCNATAGATAGATAGATAGATAATAATGTATGTCAAATAATACAATAAAATAAAGGGGGATTAGAACTTGTAAAAAGGATAAGTTATGCTATTCATTATATAAAATCTTAATTTATTCGTTGTGTTTCTAATTGTGGTACTGTATATTTAATGTTTTCTATTAACTCCTACTCTATTAAAGGAGTTTTATAGAACTCGCATTCTTAATAGTATTCTAATTAGTTGTTAGCATATATTTTAATGTTTTTAAGAAAAATATTTATTTTTTAATCATTATGACACAGTGTCTTATTTAAGGCTGAGAATTTTTAATTTTATGAAGTGTCAACATACTTCAATTGAAAAGTACTAAAAAACTTATGTCTCAAAGTTATAATAATTTTGCAATAAAGATGTCCCTAAGACATAATAATGTACAAAGTTGAATAAAGAGAATTATAATTAAAGTATGAGCCTATCATAAAGAGCATTATTCTCCAAAAAATAATACATAATATAAAAAATGACCAAATTTATTTTTAAACGTCTACCATGTATAAACTAATTCTTAATTAATCTAATTCGTATTTGTTCTAATTCAATGGTAAAATAGAAGGTATTTACTTCTGAATTTAAATTTTTACCATAAAATTTGTGCATCAAGGCTTGAACACGTCACTTTTGGATATATTGAATGAGATTTTGTATTAGTTTGCTCATGAAAGAGATATTTACTCTTCTCATCTCTAACACCTGACAAACTAATATGTTAGAGAATTAAGATTTCTTTCAACCTCGGCAAAAATATAACATATGTTAGTCATGTCCTTAAATCACAACATAGACCTACAATGTTTATTTACATGTTATTTCGATGGGTCGTTGAAATCATTTTTTTATGAATTTTATAATGTAATTAAAGGAAGCTCTTGTAATTGTAATAATGAATTTTATAATATAGGTAATAATAATTGAATGTTTGAAGTACCTAGTGATCTTCATCCAAATTTTATTTAGATATCCTTATAGAAGGAGAATATATTTTTATAATAAATGAATAATTACTAACTTAATATATATTTACTGGAATATATATTTGAACACGTTATGTTCACAAAACTAATAAAAATTCGTTGCATTTTTCATTTTATAATAGTGTTTGTCGGAAACACAGAAAAACATGATAAAGGGTTTGAACAATGTTTTATTTATTTTTTAATAGTGTTTAATATTACTTTACTGGTTAAAAGGTTTGTTAAAAACTCATAGTTTTAAAATAAAGGAAAAGAAATTCTTTGGTTTTATATTGGTTCATTCATACTTAATCACATTCAATTTTTTCTTAAAACCTCTTAAGAGGTTCCACTAAAAAACTGAGTTTAATCATTTATGGTAACAAAATAACCAAACTGGTTAGACGAGTTTCCCCTCTTTTGGTGTCAATACTAGACCAACTTTTAACTTCATTGAGTTAAACGTTTTCAAGTGTTTGAATTCACTTTTGAATCTAAAACAATAAAGGTGTTTTTGAAATCTTACAAAACAAAAGATAACTCTTTTAGAGAGGATATGAAATCAATATAATAAACTTTTGAAAACTTGTAAAAATATCATTTCAAGATAAGTCTTAAGAATTCAAAGAAAGAGACGAGAAAGCGTAACAATATATATTCTTGATAGCAAAAGTTATTCTTTTCTCTTCATGCAAACTCCTTGATATACTTATTCGGAAAAGATCTATTACTTAAAGATTTTGACTTTCTTCGAGGGAGCCTTTAAAATATAGTAAGAAGCTATATTACTTTTTGACAAAACAATTGTGCTAAACGTACAAAAGAGCATGTCAGAGAAATTCCTTGCATATCCTTTCATCTCTTAGCCCTTGTTCACTTGAATGAATTTGGAAGAGAGTGATTGAATGGATTTGGGAGGATTTGAAAGTAAATATTTTATTCTTTATTTGAGTGGGCTTTGGAGGTAAGTGAGAGTGGATTTTGAAATAAATTTTTTTAATCTGTCACATCAATCAAATTCTACACCAATTCTCACAAACTTTACTTCCAAATCCACTTTCACTTATCTCCAAAATCTACTCAAATAAACAACAAAAATTTTACCTTCAAATCCTCTCAAATCCATTCGATCACTCTCCCTCAAATCCATTCAAGTGAACATGAACTTAATGTCCTTCTGATTCTGAGTTGACTTTTCGATAAAGATGATAATTTGTATAGAAAAGAGAGTACAACGCAACATATGCATTAACGCTTTAAACAACTTAAGCGTTTAGACATGATACGTGTCTCAACATTTAACCCTTGTCTGTTTTTATTAACTTTTAAAAGGTTTAGAATATAGCGTTTAGCGAGATTATATGTATCTTAGACTGTATAGCTCTTTTATTGGATATTTTGGTAACTAGACATTTTCTTATGAACTCTTATTAACATACATTAAATGCTCTTAATTATTATACAACACTTAAAAAATAAGGTTTAGTGCTTCTAATTAGACAATTAAACATTATTTTCATTTTAGAAATTATGTTAAACAGGTTTGTTTATACCATATTGTTTTAATCATATATCATATATAACTATGTAATATTATGATTTTTTTTATCATTTCTGTCTTATTATTATATTAAAATTTTTCTAATTTATTTATTTAATAAAATAAAACAATTGAGCTAATAGTTTAATCTTATGTCAATTAAAGTGAAAATTTATTAATTTTTTTAAAAAAAGAATATTATAAAGATTTGTTAGATATAGTGTCATTAGGAGACCAAGTAAAGTAAAACAAGACACCGTTGACGTGTATAGGAACCACCAATAGAAATAAGTGTATTTCTTAGGCAGCCAGGGGCCCTACTGTAATTATGTATATCAGATATTTTCTCTGAGCTACACTCAGATATTTACGAACCGGTCCGAATATCTGCCCTCCCTTTCTGTCCACTTTCAACTTCAATCATACTACAACCCATTATTCTAAAATAATTATACTCTTTTATTAATTCATTAATTAGTATCACTAGCTATTAATACTATATAATTAATTATCTTAAATATCTTGTTAGGGGTTTGTAAAAAAATTTATGGAGAGAGATGAAGTCAGCCAACAAATTTTCCATATTTTGAGAGGACTAATCTCTAACTCTTCATCATGATCCTTTCCCTATTTTATAATAATTCATTTGTTTTGTTTTATTTAAAATTAATTAATTATTTAGATCGTAGCTAGCTAGACCTTCCCAAAATAAAATCCAATCAACTTGTGTGATCTGATTTAATATATTTTTTTAAGAAGTATATCTTATTTAGATGGTATTGGTGAAGGAAAATTAATAAAGAATCAAGTGGAGATTGATTTTCTTAAAAAATAAATAATAAAATGAACCAGCATTGACCAGAGTACTGGAGTAGAGAGTTGAGAGTATTCCTAAATTAATTAACCCTGGTTGAGCGATGCGTGGTGGAGGTTAACCCTAGTTAAGAGATTGGATGCTATATAACAAGACAGGAGGGCATAACATTGTTCTTCGTGCTAATCTCCTTGGCTCTTTCTGTTTCTGTCATTTAGGGTTTGTGAGTGTTGTCAATGGCTTCTGCAGAAGTTGAGTTCCGATGCTTTGTCGGTGGGCTTGCTTGGGCCACTGACAACGATGCTCTCGAGAAAGCCTTCTCACCGTATGGCCAGATCCTCGAATCGAAGGTCCGTTAGTCGCAGGGATCGGATCTGACACCATTCGGATTTGGATTCTCTTGATCCTTCTTGATCTGTGCTCTCTCATCTGTTTTGCGTTACTTGATCTATGATACTTGTGTTACTATAATGATTCTTTTATTACTCACACCAATCGGTACGTTCATCTTCATCTTTGATTCAAAGGCGAAGATCGATCGGTTTTAATCTGTTTCTTTTTTTCTTCATTTTCCCTGAATTTCACGGTTCTGAATCCGATCTCACGCGCTTTTGCTTTTGTTTGTGTTCAGGTCATCAACGACCGTGAAACTGGAAGATCAAGAGGGTTTGGATTTGTGACCTTCGCCACGGAGCAGGCGATGAGAGACGCTATCGATGGTATGAACGGCCAGAACCTTGACGGCCGTAACATCACCGTCAACGCGGCTCAGTCCCGTGGAAGAGGTGGTGGAGGCGGCGGTGGTTATGGAAGCGGCGGTGGAGGTTACGGTGGGGGTGGCGGTGGAGGAGGATATGGACGAGGTGGTGGTGGAGGTGGTTACGGTGGAGGCGGCCGCCGTGAAGGTGGTTATAACCGTAATGGTGGTGGTGGTGGTTATGGCGGGGGCGGCGGTGGATACGGAGGTGGTGGTTATGGAGGTAGCAGGGACCGTGGATATGGTGATGGTGGGTCCCGCTACTCGAGAGGAGGTGGTGCTTCCGATGGTGGAAGCTGGAGGAATTAGGGTTATTTTGATTTAGGGTTTAGTGGCTGAAAACAGGGGAGGGTGTTGTGTCTTCCTCCCCTTGATATATTGTGGTAATTTTAGGTTTGGAATATCTTTGTGGTTTGAGCACCTGTTATTGTTTCAGTGTTACTGTCCAGTGGTTATCGTTTTTGACCTCTAAATTAATATCCAAAAAAAATGAATAGTCATTATTATGTCTAGGTTTATGTTTTACTCATTTCTCAATTCTGAAGAAAATTAAAAAAAATGAACCTTTGAATTTAATTATTTTACAATTTTAATTTTATTATGTAAACTGTTCATACTAGTTTAGGAGATAATAATGAATATATGTATATTCTTGAAATGATTGAAATAGTCCATAAATAAAATTAAGTAAATAATCCATAATATTTTTTTCATTGAATTCATATTCTTAAGGACGATGACAGTTAACAATTTTTTTAACAACCTATGTCACTGTTCTATTAACAACTTATGTCACTATTTTATTGTCACTTATCATTGTAAAAAGGTTGTACAAAAAATTATAAAAAAACATTTTTCTATTTTTAGTTGAGGTAGAATATGAGCCATTACGTGACTCCGACGGAGAAGTACGGAATTTCATGATTCTTTTCTTGATATCTTATTACCACGTACAAAATTATTTTTTGAGGTATTATATTTCTGTATTAAGTATTTTTATTATAATTATTATATGGCTTGCAATTTCATGTTTTATTATTAAAATTAAATTATTATACATATGCTTGATTAATGATTATTAAAAAACTCATTTTTCTTCTTAATAATATCTAAAGTAAAACTCAAACATAAGAGCTGTTTATACGTAATATTATTAAGTGTTACTATTTTAATGTAAAAATGTTACCATTATCTTCTATATTTTAATACATTCATTTCTAATATCTTTAATTTTATTTTAGTTGTGATTAGTTATTTCAATTTTATACGCATAATTAATTATAACATTCTATATAAAATTTGTTAGATTGCTTTTTAATTTTTACGTGATTCAAATTAAAAAAACCATCATTAAATTATAAATTAAAGTAATAATGTTTTATTATTTTATGTAGAAATTACACATAATAAAAATTAATCTAAAATAGTTAAATAAAGAAATAAAAAAGTTTAAAATTGTAAAGTTAATTTTAATTACTACGCATTAAAATAATATTTCATAGTTTTTTCTAACAATTTTTATTCTTGTTTGGGATTTTTCTCAACGTTTCTCGACTAATATCAAAACAGCTATGATTTCAACATGTTGGGGGAAGAGACGTGTCTTAGATGGATTTTGATTGTTCTTAAAATTATTAATCTCGTTAATACTAAATTGGTTATGAAATTCAACTGGTCCAATTCTATAAAATAAAAATAAATTTAACAGTTTAAAAATAAAGTATAAACTAATTTTAATAATAATAATAAAAAGACAACAGTGTTTTGATGTGTAATTTAGTATAAATATATTTTTTTAAATAACTATATTTAAGTGATAAGTAATAATTATTTTAAAATAATATGAATAATAGCACACAACTATGAAATATTACTAAGATAAAATTTATAAAAGATAAATAAAAAAATATGACTTGTACTTTTTTACATCTTAGTTTTGACAATTCTTTTATTCAGTTAGGCGATGTGACAAATTAAAATATAGGTTAAATTTTACACTGACTACTAAGATGATATGATAGAAAGGAGAAATACGTAGACAATTCTCATATAATTAATCTTTTATTTATCAAACAATTCAACACCCCTGTCCATATTATTTTCTTGTATTTTGCGAGTGTGTGCTGAAACTATTTTTTTGTAACGGGAAGCTTCTTTCCTAATTCATCTCCCTCAACTTTGATGAACAGAACAAAAATATTACGTTCCATTAGTGCAAAATTAATATACTATATCAGGCTATTAAATTGATGGTATG